TGTTGCTGGACGCCTAGTGAGTACGGCCGGGCACCCCTCGAGCCGCTTCATTCCCCTCGAGCCGCTTCGTTCCCCTCCCTTGCTGCGGAGGAGGCCTGGGGGAGAGCGAGAAGCGCGGGCTCGGGCACGCCTCGGGCCAGGAAGCTCCTCTGCAAGAACGGAGAATGCAAAATTAAACCTATCTCAATTTTGGGCTCTGCTGTTCCCGGCTTTTAAAATGCAGCAGTGTTAGCAATGCTGGAGCAGACATAGCGGAATTGTGGGAGGGAAATAAACAGTTCCCAGAGCCAAGAGTGCTGCTTTGCGATAATACCACTCATTTCTGTGTATTGTTCTCTGAAAATGCTGTAGCCTGGGTCAGCATTCTGACCCCAACGGTGGCAGCGGGGGCCTGTGTTTAGTATTGCAGTTGCAATGTGCACTGCAGCTTTTAATTAAACCAGAGATGCGATTGCTGCAGAGGACAAAAGAGTTTTCTAACACTGCCTGGCCATGGTATTAGAGGGGCACATTTTCTGGTGTGTTACAAGTGCTCAGGGCAGAACTGAGTAATGTACTGTATTGCTTTAAAGTTTTCTTGGACAACACCAAAGGTGTGATCACAAAACCTCTGCTTTTGTTGTTGTTCTTTCCTTCTCTAGTGAATACAGAGGTTTGGTCAAGCACACTGGAGGCTGCCACTGTGGAGCTGTCCGCTTTGAGGTTTGGGCATCACCAGATCTGCACGTTTTTAACTGCAAGTGAGTTATTTTTTGGTTGCCTACTCTGGTATATGAATAAAGCTCATGTCTTCCCAATGTCTTAGTGCTAGGATGACACAGTACAATGGCAGAACATCCTCTGACCTGTTGCCATAGGGTATATCCCCAATCATGTCCAGTATGGGATTGGTGCTGGCAATTTCAGGTGCTGGTTCTCTGGGAAGGATTTCAGGTTTCACATCCATGTTCATGCACAAAGTGAGACCTAGAGATCTATTGACTGTCTATTGACAGGTGCTCAGCAGTGTGCTCAGAGCACATCAATCCTTTTTTAATTTGATCTTCCAGGTGAATGCTAAATCTTTGACCACATGTGCTTCAAATAGCAACAGTTTTTGATTTCAACAGTCCCACTCTTGCCTATGACTTCTACCTCATGTCATGGCTGATTTTTATTTTCCTGTTTATAAAGTAATTAATGTTGGCAACCTTTGGACTTAAAGATTAAATGTATTTATTAGGGCTGCAGTTTGTCCTTGATAAGTTGGTTGGAAGTTGTGTACATGAAGAAAAAAATGCCATATAATCTTTAGTGTAGCTGCAGCCTTATCTGTGTACCTGTGCAGGGTCCATCTGTTCCACGGGTGTGCCAAACAGATACTCTAGGTTTGCTCTTGCCAGTCACCTCTGCGTTGTTGGCCACGAGCCATTTTCTCTGTTGTCAAGAGGCCTGTGGTAGATCTGCTTTTTGCTCCATGCTTTATCCACTGCTTCTAGGAGAACCGTTGTCTTTCTCTTTTACAGTTGCAGCATTTGCACAAAGAAACAGAACAGGCACTTCATTGTCCCAGCTTCGCGCTTCAAGCTGCTGAAGGTAGAGTAAGAATGCAGTAAGAGCATGGGGAGCATGAGCCAAAGGAACTACCTAATCCATGTGATCCAGTGTTACCCTGAAAAATGCAAGTGGCACCCAGTCTTCTATCTTAGTCTTTCTTGCGGCTGGTTGGGGAAAAATGGTTGAATTTTCTGCCATTTGGGTGAGTGTGTTAGTGCCTGTCAGTGAGCTGGAGTTTAAGCTCTAGCAGTTTTGAGGCTCGACTGGGATGACCACATGTATGTACGGAGCACAGGCATTCAGGAAAGGAGTGGGATTGCAGAACTCCGTACCTCAGGAAATGGTATTTTTAATTTCACGTTGCTTAGTCCATAGAATGCAATAAGTAAATCCACTTATGTAGAAAATCTACACTACTTTTCATTTCTGTTTAGGGTGCGGAGAATCTGACAACGTACACCTTCAACACCCATTGTGCTCAGCACACCTTCTGTAAAACCTGTGGTGTACAGAGCTTTTATACTCCTCGCTCTAATCCAGATGGCTATGGTAGGTATAAAGAGGAAACTTGACAAACTGTGGTAACCAAAACCGACATCAAGCAAACTCTGGAAAAGACTCCATTGGCTGCTAACATGCCACAAAACTCTGTCTTTATAGTTTGCTCCTAAAATGCTGAATGTCTAAAATGACAGCATGAAGCAGCAGCTCCACCATAAGAAAAAGTCTCAACTATGACTTGTGGGCTTCTGCCCACAACAGGTTTCTCATCTATTCACCTCACCGTTACAGCATCACTTGGACTAACAGCATTTACCATCCCCTGAGATGCCCAGTCCACAGTGGCACAGGCATCTCCCATCTTTAGCTAGGAAGAGCATGTTTCTACTACTCCCTCTTTCCGCAGGAATAGCTCCCCATTGCCTGGATGACGGCACTGTGCACAGCATTGTCCTAGAGGATATCAATGGCAAGGAGTGGGAGAAGGCAATGAAGGAACATAAGACCATCAGAGACATGTCAAAGCCCTGATGTCCCTTCCCAGCAGCTGAATGTGGAGCATCACCATGGAACTGTAGTTTGGGCTTTCTGTGGTGAGCGTTTGCAAAATCAGCTTCTTTGTTACCAGCACTATCTGCCTTCTGTTTCTTAAATAAAACTTTTTATGCTGCCTGTCCTGTTCATCTGTGACTTCGTTTTCAGACTGCCTCTATTCTATATCCCACCTCAGGATTGGTGTTTTGGTACTTTGCTTTTAGCTGTGCTAAAGTTTGCAGTATGCAGAGCAAAGGTGAAAAAAAATCTAATCTAGGCTTGTATGCATGGCCTGTATGGACGTTTCCCAATTATGTTTAAAGTCTGGCTTATAAAACAGTCCCATGCAAGATAATCTCTTGCTTAGGACAGAATACACACTTACACTGGTCTTTCTCCATTGACTTCAATGAAATTATCATGGATTTAGAGTTAAAGGAGATTTGCAAGAGCTCAGCAGGCTCAAATTCAGCAAAGCGTTTATGCAGGTGCTTAGCTCTATGGGAGAAAGGGTGCACTGAAGTTAGGCATGTGCTTAAGCACTGTTCTGCTTAAGCCTGGACTTACTCATAGTCTGAAGGCGCAGTAAGCACCCTCTTACGCACTGACTCACGGCCTGGGAACACAATTCAACCCTGTCACACTTTTATAGCAATGGAAATGTTCTTCTAGTACAACTTGGGTGTTTGGGAGGATGGTGTGCACATGGCAAGGGACCAGGAGCTGGGAATTTGGTATCTGATCTTGACCATGCAACAACTGCCTGTGTAGATAATGAAAGATTTTCTCCTGCAGATGAGTGCAAGCACTCCAGAAATGTTGAAAACTGCTCACTTTGCTTCACTATGACCCTATGAAAACTAGAATCCCTAGTAAAATCTCTGTTTAGACTAAGAAAATACTGGAAACTGGTGTCTCCTCCACTTACCTTTAAACATCGAGGGAGAGGATCTTGTCGTTTAGATAAAAGGAACAGCTTTTGAAACATCCCTTTGAATTTTGATCTCTGCATGTGCATTGAGTTAAAGATTTAGTTACTGTTTAGCTGTCTTGTGCCTCCTTATATCCTTGAGTTGAGACTCTTGTGAGTTGTTCTCAAACGCCATGTTCTGAAGCAAGAAGAAATGGCTAGTGTTTCATGAGGGACACTCTGAGAAGGTCAAACCTGTAAAATGATGTGGTTGAAAGAAGCAATGGGATCAGCATAATTAGAAAAAAGTCACATCATTTCTGATGTTTATTCAAAGGATTCATCTTTAAAAAAGTCCTGACTAATGCAGATCCTGTCATCCTGCCTTTATCTATGGAGATGGCATGATCTTGGAAAAGTCACTCCTATGCACAGAGAATCCTGTCTTCTTGTGTGCATAACAGGTGAGTTTTCTTCAGTGCTTGGCTTAGCACAGTCCTTTTTCTTCTCTCACTCCTGCAACTGTTGTCAGTGTTGTTTTTTCACAGAAGACGAAGTGAATTGACCACCATGTAACGTGAGAATCGCATGTAGAGGCGGCGAAACCAGAGGAGCTGGCTGCGATGGCACCGCATGGCTCTCTAGAAGGAAAAATAGTTAAAAAACTACCATAAGAACCTTCAAAGCCTAATGTTAAGCACAGCGTCCTAGGCCTCTTGTGAGACTCACTACTCATTTACAGAAAACAGACTGTTGTCAGCAAGCAGAGTAGTAGTCAGGGGTGAAAGGCTGCCTATTCTGTGGGACCACTGGGCTCAGAGAGGCCTATATGACCCTGTGGCTGGTGCTGTGCTGGTTCACATGGGTCCTGCTAGACCCTGCAGAAAGGTGCTGTGACACTTTCCTTGTCACCTAGCTCCTCCCCACTATGTGATCTCATGCCTGGATGTTCATATGCTGGGGAAGCAGAAATTAGAGGTGTTTGTGTCTGAGAACACTCTGTGTGCTGTTTTGAATCATGCACTGCTAGTTCAGACTTGGCTGATTCTATTCATAATGCAACAGCTAGAAAGGACAAGTTTTAGGCACAAAAAGCACAAAGAAGTAATGGTACCTTTATCAGAACAGTCTCCATATGTACCACCATACTTTCTTTTAGTAGTCCCAACTGCAGGGAAATTCTGTGCATGTCATTTGTGGATTAGCAGGACTGTTTGCTGGGCAAATATTTACATGCTATGGAAGAGGATCTGATCAGACTTTGACATAGGGAACTGTGGACTAAATGTACGAACTCTGAGCTGCAAATCTAGTGAGCACTGCCATGCTGTCCACCCAGCACATGCAGCAACCTGTTCACTGGCTATTAATAAATTACTGAAGATTGTCCATACATGACATTTATAATTGATGTGTACAATTATTTTTCACGTTCTCTATGAATGTGACACCTCTGACTAAAGCCTTTGAAATGATGATGAGTATTCAAAGAGGTTTGGCAGCTGCCACATATCTCACCCTGGCTTGTTCCGCTTCCTCTTCCGTGAGTATGAAGAGTGCATCGCTGGGCAGCAAGCAGGAAATGGGAATATCCAGGATGGAGATGTACTTGCGGAAGAGATTTACGGTTTCAAGTGTGAGCACATGGCATCCTAGACAGATAAAGAAGATGAATATTTTATAACCATTATGTTGTAAGATGCTCATCTCTGAGGGCTAAGCGAGTCTCTGCAGGCTTGCCTGGGCTGCTGCTCAATCCAGCTTTTAGTTGTGCTTCCCTCAGTATCACTTTGTGCTCCATGCATGTCTATGACCATTTGTACTGGTTCCTGCTCTGTATGTGGTCTGTGGAAGGCAACACTAGTTCCAAATAACAGGGATTTCTTTGGCTTATTATTTAAATGATTGCCACACAATCAATAAGCACAAAGGGAAGAGCACAGGAGGGCTCTTTGAATGCTCTCTGATTCATTGTAGCATATAATGGAAATTTAAAATAGCAGGTAACAGTCCCTGGTTCATCTACAAGAATGACATTTCCCTCTCCAATGTGTAGCTAAAGAAAATAAATTTATAAGATTCAGGAATGGCTATATCAAATACTAACTTGTCCAGACAGTTCTACTTTAACAGAGTTCCAGCATTCATTACTCAGATGCTTGCAGTGAAAAAGATGAAGGGAATATGTATAAAGAGTCTACTGCATTTCTTTTCTGTTTTAAAGAACTCTTTGAACTCAAAAGTTATTATTTTTTTTTTTTACCACAGCTAAATTGTCTTGATGGATGAGATCAGAGCTCCTGATGGTCCCATTAAGAGCACGTAGCTCTGAAGGCAGCTGCTTTGGGATTTTTTTAGTACTGGAAGCTGCTGTGATTATGCTGCACACTTCAGGAATTGTTTTAAAGCTTGACAGAAGAGGCCAAAGTCTCAGAGATGGTCAGATTTGCAGTTAGATTTTCTTCAGCGTGCCCTTAAACAGCGAAATTATACAGAGGAGACAAGGAGCAATGCTGAATTGTTACCAAGGCTGCTGCCACTGGGCCATTTCCATGTGTGAACCCTGCGCTCACGTGTCCAGTACCGCGTTAGCTGTTACATCCTGACCACACAGTAAACTGGTGGTGCTCAAACACCTCTTGGCTCTAAAATAGAGGCAGGATTTGTGTCCTGCTGAGGGAAAAGATTCTCCAGAACAGAAGAAGCAGCAAAAATCCTTTCCTAAAAGAGTAACTTTGCGAGGTGTGAGATGCTGAGGGTCTTCACGGATCTGCCATTGCTCAAAAATCTCATCCGACCAGGACACAAAGAGTCGACCAGCTGCTAACTTCTCTTGGGCATTAGTTAAGACAGGTTTATAAAGATTCTTCAACCCAGTCCCTAACAAGTCTGAGATAGAAAAGCAAAACTTCTTGCTTTTATGGTGAATGAATTTCCTGGAGATGCAAAGGCAGAAGCCTCTGAGGTCAAGCATGGTGGTCAGAGATCGTCACGACCATTCCTCGCCTGGCCAGGGGCCTGTGACACAACCATGCCTGGGACAGATGCTCTACACAGGACAATCCTCCGTGCGTCCCCACATGAGGGATCTGTGTCCCTGACTCTTCCTAGCATCACTAACTCATCCCTCTGCAGAGAATACTTTCTTTCCAGCCACAGGCAGCAATGGGAGGACATGGAAATGGGGCCCCAGCAGGCGCTGCCGGGAGATGGCAGTGTGCCCCAGCCGTGCGCAGCCGCTTCCCGCTGCCTGTGCGGCCAGCCCGGATCCCTCCCGGCTCCTCTGCCTGGAAGCTCCTGCTGCCTTCTAGCCCTGTCAGTGCTGTGCCGTGTCCCTGCTTCCCTCCCAGCGCGGCATAAGGGGCCAGCCCTGCTGCGAGGTCGCCGTGCCCGTCCCGTGGAGCAGCAGCCGGGCGATGTCCTCTGGCAGGACGGAGCGGTGCCGTGTCCCTGCGCGGGCCGTGGGCCGTGCCGGGGCGCAGGCGGCCGTTTGCTCGGCCCCCAGCGCTGCGGGACGCGTGCCCGGTGCAGGGCTGGTGCTGGCGCTTTCAGCTTGCGATTGCAAAGGATGCGACTGCAGCATCGCTCCCCTTCGCTCCCCAAGCGAGGCCCAAAATGACAGCAAGTGAATTCAGTGTCGATGAGTGTGACCTCCTGAGCCCCTCTCGGCATGGTCAGGCTGGGCAGTGGACATTCAAGCCTCACTAAATGAAGGGCACTCCGTAAGATTCTCCAGGGATCTCCACCTGCTGACAGCAAAGGCTGCCCTGCATGGGAATGTGAGATGAAACGAAGCAGGGAAGGAATGTACAGTCCAGCGAGAGATGGAAAAGGGTGCAGAAGAAACAACTGCTCCCTGCCAACCAGGGTAAGCCAAGTGCTGCCATTGATGAGTCCACCCCTGTGACACCAGCAGGTGAAGATTTTCGGAGCCTGTTGTGACTGTGACCTGGGCAGGATGGGATTATCAGTGTAATACAACCCCTCTAGGTTGGCAGAAAGGGCAAGATCAATATAGCTAGTGGATTAGGCCTAGAATAGAAGTGCATGAAGCCTGCAGCCTATTCGGCTTGGCCTTCTGCTTCTAAAACACTTATGCAGCAAGTATGCCTAGAATGAGGAGATTAGCAGATCTATGTGTGTTAAAGGCACCGGCAGACGTTAGCGCACCGATTCTTCGGGAAGAGAGCTGGTTATATATGGATGAGGCCGGTAGCAGGGGTAGGTGCAAATCCAGCAGCTGTCTCCGCTTCTTGAAACAAGCCTACGTGCTTGTGCTCGGTCTGGAGAACATGATTACAGATTATAAAAAGCCCGTTGTGTTTATGCTGGCTAAAGGCATTAGAAAGCAAAGCAGGATATTTCGGGTGCTCATCTGCATATCGCTGAGGCCGTGCAAGGCTTAGCTGGCTTTGGCATCTGCAGAGAGATTTTCTCTGGATTCCCTTATCGCCTGGGCGTACACAGGTTTGGCTGTTCCCTGTTTCCAGCAGGAGAGCAGGACATTTCTGTGGCCTGAACATGCCTCTCAGCTCTCTCTAGACAGCCTCAATCCCAGCATCACTCCTGTTTCATTAAGTCCTTCTGATGCACAGCCCTGCACGCCTGCCAGATCAAATTATAAATACCGGGAATTTCAATGAGACTGGAACTATATTTGGAAAGGCTTAGTGTAAGCAGCAGCATGGGAGCTCCCCGTTCCTTTGGCATTTGTAGGTCATGTCAGATGTGATGTAATCAGAACAGCAAAGCTTTCACATAGCTTCAGGAATCTCTTGATGCAGCTAGAGAAATGGAAATGTTGCCTATACATTGGTCTGTTTTAAACCTGAACCAATTTGAGACGCAGCCCGTTTGGCTTACGCAGGATCATGGTGTATCTTTCAAACCAACGTGAACAGCACAGGAAGGTGGTTCAGTCTAGATAAGGACTGACATGTAGCAGGGACATCTACCACTGCATTTCCTCGTTCCTTCTTTCTGTACTGCATGCCGCACACACAGCTGTTTGCTGCATTCCAAAGCTGCACAAAAAGGAGGTCCTGGGAGAGAAGCTGGCATTAATAAACATTTCTGTTCTCAAGGCGGGGAAATGAAGAAAATAGAGTCAAAAGCAAGTCAAAGAGGATTCTGCCATCTTGGCTCATTTTTTCTTCACCAGACTTCTTGGTCTGCAACCTGCTACCATCAGGGAATTAAAACTGACTTGCTGTGACACATCCAAATCCCACAGTGATTTGGGAATTAGTGTTGCAGAAACAAAGTCTGCTGAGGGAGCAGGAGGCTAACTGGGTATTGAGCCTTCTTTCTATGCCCTGGCCAAAGCACAGAAAGAGCTTGCAGTTTTATGCTTAAACTAGTCCCATAAATTATTTCTTGAGCCATGCACTGTTTTTTAGAGTTAAGGGTTGTAGATCTGCTCTGGGACTAAGGAGGGTGGAGAAGGGACAGCAGCTACAAGAGGTGGTCAGGACCATCCTACTTTTGTTCTTTGCTTCCTTCTGTTCCCTACTTGGCCAGAGAGTTTCTCAGAGAGGCCTCGTAGTTTAAAGGTAAAAGAGTCCAACATTTCATTGCACTAGTGCAGTTTTCAGGTATCTTTCCTATACTGACTACATTTTGGAGGAAGCTTAGCTTGGATAAAACAGTAGGGATGATATTTGAACATAAACACAAGCTTTTTTGGCAGAGCTGAAAACTGCTTTCTGTGGCCCCTGTTACCATAAAGCCCAGGGTTAATACTTTATCAATGAAAATGTGGGAAAAAAAAGAAACCCCAAAAACTAGAATTGACGTGAGAGACTTGGAAACAGCACGTAAGTTCAAACAGCAAGAGGCCAGCAGCAGAGCCTGAGTCACATCACTGAGACAGAACAATCCCAAAGGACAGGAACGGTCCCCAGACTATAGGGGACATTGGGGAGCCTGAACTGGGGCAAAACTGCAGGGAGATGAAAGAGCAACAGAGAGTTCAGCTGGGGGTCTCATTTACATTGCAAATAGGGGTGAATTAGGCAGATGCAACCCTGGACAGAACATAAATGTAAATGTTGCCTAATGCCTGCAGGGTCATGGATGCTTTGTGGGAATTGTGACCTACCTTCAGGTAACTTCTGCTCTGAATGCAGGTAGCTGTGAAGAAGGAGAGACACAGGGGTTAGTATTCAATGAAGTTACTCCAATGCTGATTTTATATGTATAGTCTCTGTATATAGACTCTTTTCTCTCACCCCCATTTACAGTGGCTCATCTCAAAGGAAGGTTTGGGAGCACAGTGCTCACCCTCACTCCCACGTGATTCCACCATTACTTTCCTCCCTGTGGCTCCAAGGATACAGCACAAATGACCTCCCTTAAATTCAACACGCTCTCAAACTCCTTGTGTTGCAGTAAGGGAAACTGCATGAGGATGCCAAAGACTATCCAACTCCAAGAGTATTTACACCTTAAAGTCCTGTGTCTGCTGACCAGAGACACCTGCTGAGCAGCAGTTCCTGCTTGGGGACCATCTCCCTTCTTTCTAACCCACACTGGCACATGGTAGGACTTGTGCTGACACTTTGCTCACTAGGAGTTTGATCTTTCTTTGACTTAGTCCTGGGAGGTCTCTGTAGCAGAAACATGCACCTTGGAAACAAGATGAGAAGACGAGTGCAGGGAATGTAAGCAATGATGGCACTTCCATCAGGAAGGGTGAGCAAATGATCCTGACCTGCTGGAGGCATGTGAAGGTGCTAGCTTCAATTTCTTTTCAACTCTCTTTTTTTGTTGTTGTTGTTCATTTTCCTCCTCTAGCCTGTGGTGCACGGCTTCAGAGCACTTATGCTCACATCACCGTTTGCACATCCTCCAAATTTGGCCCTCACAGGCATGGAGAGAAGCTCATCTCCAGCAGATGGCACTCAGAGCTGTCCCACACTCAGACTTGCTCTTTCATGGAAAAAAAAATCCAAACAATGGAACATTTGCCAAAAGGAGAAAGGAAATAAAAGACAAAAAGTTATTTAACCTTGTGTTATTTAACACTGTGTAATATTTAAAGAGATTGTTATCATCTTATAGTGGTGTATTTAACAAAGGACAGTGTGACAGTTCATGTGTAAATCAACCAGGGTAGAACATACATTTTATGTGAATTGTTATGTTGCTCCAGTCACTTTCAGACTCGGATTATCTCTATTGGTTAAGTTCAAGGAAAAGGATTAGCTACACAGGCGTAGACAAAATAGGAAGCACGGAGTAAATGAATACCCAAAGCAACTCAAAGCAAAAGTCAAGCCAGAAATGCAGGTCATGGCAGACTGCTCACAGAGTCGTCAGAAGACGAATGCCTCGGATAGATTCCCCTGCCAATGGTCTCCTCTTCTCCAGAGCCAAAGATCTGCAAGCAAAACCACTTCCGACTGAGAATCACCCCGTAGTGCTGCCCTGGCCACCTTCTACGTCACAGCTCAAGTCCTGCTGTTCAGACTCAGACTTTTTTTCACGTTGCCTTGCAAACATTACCAGCTTTTTTTCTTTTTTTTTTTTTTTTTAAGGGAACAACAGATTTAAATAACTCCACTATTGTCTGCTCTACTCTCCTGCCAGAGGCTTCATCCCGCTCAGCTAGAATCTGGCCACCCAAAGAGGTGATTCAGCACTTGATAAAGCTAGAGGGATGGGAACTCCTTGATGCAAGGTTGGAGCGATAAAGCAACAAGCGGTTGTGAAATTTTGCTCCCTATCCAAGGTACTAGCTTCTGCTCTGGACGCGCTGCTCTCCCATAGAGTGGGGTTTCAGGACACTAACTGACTAAATTAAAGGCTGTGAAGAAATGCTCAAGATAAGATAAGGTAGCGCTCCTCCAAGGGTGAACTAATATCAACCTGGCCACTAGAAACAGAGGCTGGGAGAGATCAGCCCATACGGAAAAATCTCAGTGGAAACAGAGGGCATCTGCAACAGAAAAGTCCAATCCAGGAGCGAAGTAAAAAGTTTTTGTGTTTACAAAAGTTTAGGGGGACAAAACTTTGTATTCTGCTTAATGAAAGGCCCTCAAGGTTACTGCCAGGCAGCCCTGACACTGGAAGAATGGGCACACAGAAAACTGATTCTTTTCCTGTAGCTCTTGTCCTGAGCCAAATGCTTCAGGGCTCAGCAAGGTTTAGTGCGGAGCTACAGGAGTGGCCTCCACCTTGCTGCAAGGCTGCAGAGCATCTAGCAGCTTTGCTCATTCGTATTTCTCCAGCTACAGATGGTAATGAACTGTACTTGCAGAGAGCGAAAAAAGGAAAAATAAAACTCTACTTCCTGTACACATTCACAACGCTAGCCAACCTTCGCCCAAATCAATCTTCTCACTCCCATCTCCACCCTGCTGGAGCTGTCTCCGTGGGACACCTCCAAGTAGGGGAGAGGTTGCAGCTCTGCTGTTGCCATTTTGGGAATGTTGTTTTAGAGACTGGACTTGCTGTGGTTTGAGTGAAATGAGAGAGTCTGGCATGAAATCCCAACCAGTCAAACAGGCTCTTTTTTAGGAGCTCTTTACTTGTGTTTTCTTTGGGAGAGACTTTTCATCAGCCCCTTTTCTCCAAGTGATCTGGGGGGGCTTGTTCCCACACCCAGCAGAGCCCAGATAAACACAGGCACCCCTTAGCACACCCGCGTTAGGATGTATCCCTGGGGCAGGCGTCACGTCCAGGTTCAAAGTCGAGTGAGACCCTCTGCAGGACGGAGATCCAAAGCTCAGGCTTCCACCACAGGCACTTGCTCCCTGTACACAGCAGGGACTCAGCACCAGCTCCTCCCTCGAGGATGCTCAGAGCTTTGCAGTCTGCAGCTACCGATGCATCTGCCCAGAACAAACCGAAATGGCCCAACAACTGCCGTCCTGCAAACCCAGCCTGAATTCCCTGTCTTTATTCTTGGAACCTCAAGGAAAGATGTCAGCAAAGTAAGAGGGCTGGCTCCTAAAAGGCATCGATAACGGGGGTGTCCCCTTGATGTCAAGAAGGAGCTGAGAGCTCTGTTTCTGGAAAAAGAACTCCTCTAGGGACAAACCAGGACTGACGCCCGGGTGGGTGGATTACGGTTTTGGTGATGTTCTGTTCAGTGAGAAATTGTTCAGTGAAATCAATGACTTCACTCCCCAAACGGCCTCCTGAGCCAAAGGCAAAGCCCTTTGCTGAACTGCCTGTGCTGGCTGCCGCAGAGCACTGGGGAGATGCAACTGTCCAGAGCATGGCAGAGAAGGGAAGTCTTAGAGATGAACTGGGGCTCTACTTAGGATCTCAACCTCTAATCTGCCCAATTAATGTGATGAAACAGATGTGGAAGAGGAAGAACAGTCAGTCTCCCAGGAATTCCAGAGACATTAGAGAGAGATACTTGCCAGATGTTGAATGTTTACTATCTGGAACGCCTCCTCCCGCCTTAACTGGACTTTCTGGCTGCTATTCCGTGCACCCTGAACTGCCCCATGTAGCAACATGCAGTTGAAAACACTATTCAGGCACACGGTACTCACATATTGCAGGGCTGAAAGATAGCTCTGCCAGTCAGAAACAAAGCCGAGATCCCCGAGGTGACAGAGCTGCTCTGGGCTCTTGTCCCTGCACTGTCTGGGAGAGGAATGTGCAGTTTCACTGCTAGCAATCCGGTGAGCCTGGGAAAGACATTTCTTGATACTGTTTCTTTGAAAAAAAAGCCCTTTTTAGGAGGAATCCCTGCTGAATACCCACAATTCTGGTGCCCTGTGTTCAGCTTTACCTTAGTGGCTCTCAGCAGTACCGTGGAAGGGCACTGGGACGAATGAACTTGGTCAAAGTAAGGAAGGAGGGAGCAGGGGCTGAAGGCATGAGCTAAAATCAACAGGAGATGACCGAAAAGACACCAACATGATATATGCCAGGCATGAGAGAGAGACCTCCGAGGAGAAGGGTCAGAGACTTGGGGTAAAAAACAAAGAGAGTGGGACAATTTTCTATTGACTTCATAGAGATAGTCTGGGTTCAATCATAAATACCACTCGTAAGTTCCCTCATCACTTGGAACATTTAAGGCCATTAAAACAAAATGCCAGGATTGAGCTGGACTGTGAAAGGACAGCCTGAAATTTATGGTACTGGAACCTGTTCTTTGCCAAAGCTCTTCTTTATTTTGCAGTGAACTTAGAAATTTAGCAGGGGCTAAGCAGCCCCAAACACACACGCATTAATACCATAGGAAATTCTTTTCTAAGGTGCAGCAAATTATAATCAGTTTGGGAAAAGGATTTTCTAGAAAAAGGCATGCTTTCAGATTGCAAATGAGATGTGGCTTATTTGAAACGCATGGGCTACAGCTGCTTAAACGTATAAAGAGACCGGAGTCCCACTGCAGCCCCCAGCACTGTAAGAATAAAATGGTGCATCCATCGGGGCCCCGCTTGCTCTAATCAAGCTAATCACCCAAGCAGCAGCCTGTTTCCTGCCCCCCACATCACCACGAGCTGGCCTTGGAAATTCAGTAAAAGCAGAACTGTACGTCTGTAGGGCTGTCCTGCAGCCGATGGCTTTTGAGGAGCAGCATCCCCACCGAAGCTGCAGCTTTAGCTGGACAATGCACGGACTGTTGTTCTGGCTGCAAATGCTCCTTCTCCTGCACGCGTGCCCCCAGTGCTATCTAAAACAATGCTGTTAAACAGTACTATTTAAAACCAGGCTCTGTTCCATGGCAGTCGTAAATGGGGCATTCAATAGCCAGGCCATGACACAGCAAGGCACCAGTGGCACTCAAGCTGCACCATAGTCAACTCAGGAGCGAAAAAGCCCTAAGTTCCCAAACATAACCTGGGCACAGCCTCATTTACAATCCAGCACAAAGCTGATGGCCATTCGGAGACATCCTCCAGGACTGAGAGTGTTTTTCCAAACAGAGCGGACAAGAATAGGCTCAGCTAATGATTCTTTGATGTAGCTTTTTATATGGCATCACTGATATAAGTTTTATGGATGCAGTTGCTATAACAACATAATGCACTGTGGTTAAATATAGCAGCTCCTATTTTCCACTCAGTTTGCTCTGCCCTAAACATACAGGGACTATTCTTTTCAGTTCTAGCGGGGATGAGATGGATTTGATTGTTGAGAAAAAGGTGGTGCAGTCCTTCCTCCCCCTCACACAGGCCATTACTCCCCACTTCAAGTAAGCAAACAAACAACAAAACCAACAGCCTCCCATTTGCCTCCCAGGCTACTGGGCCAGAGGGTTTGTATCAAATGGAAACGCACAATGACTCATGCAAAACTCCATCACCTTGATAGTACACGTGAGATCAGTGCAAATCCTCTCATTTCCAAGTGCAGGAAAGACATACTCAAATATTCCTGTCACGCAGTATTTACCAGGCTTATTACTGTAGTGCCTAATGACTGGCCAAATGCTGAGAAGGGAGGAAAGTGCCCTTGACAGCATTCGAGAGCTGCCCTTCCTTGCGGTCGTGTTTATAGGATCCCGGCTCCCTTGGCTGCAGGGAAAGCTCCTGCTCTGCGGGATGACAGAGAGCTGCTTTCCCACATCAAGATGAGGGGGACAGAACAGAGCTACAGAGGATCGCTTCCAATTCTCCCTTCTTTGCTCTAGCAGGGCTTTACTGGTGTTTTTTTGGTTTGTTTTTCCCCAGTCTGGGAACCAGAAATAAAATACTCAAGGAGAGACTGAAATCAAATATCAGTTTGTGTTCCTCTCTCATCCTGCTTTTCTCCTTTTCCTCTTTTCTTCTTTTCTTTTCTCTTTTTTTCTTCTTTTCTTTTCTTTTCTTTTCTTTTCTTTTCTTTTTTCTTTTCTTTTCTTTTTTCTTTTCTTTTTTCTTTTCTTTTTTCTTTTCTTGTTTTTCCCTTGCAGAAGAACAAAGTCCACTCCCAAATCATGGCATTTCGCAGTTCCTCCCTGATCTGGAGCTTAGACACACAGAAGCAGCTGGACTCCCTGCAAAGCTGTCAGGAGCAGGGAGGATGCTGCAAGGGGAAGGGCATATTTCTTGAGTAGTTCCTGCTCCTTTGAACATAAGCTCTGTTCCAGAGCCCAAAGGGTATTTATGTCCTTAGCAGATAACGTTGAGCATCTGCTCAGCTAGGTCCATTTCCTGAACTGTTTTGTTCCTTGATGCTCTTCAGAAATGTGTGGCTCCTGAAGCCAGGCTGTGTCGCACAGCCTTTCCTCCCCCTGCTTTTGCAGTAAGCAGCCTCTTATTTAGTGAACACAAAACAAATCTTCCACAGATCACTGCACCAGCCCTCTGCTTCGCTCTTCCTACCTACAGCCACAGCGCAGGCAAGACCCTGCAAGACCTTGCTTAAAGACTGTTACTAAATACTCTGCACACGAGGGGAGACTTTATTTCTCACGCAGCCACGGGGCCCTTGGGGACCAGGGGCAGTGCTCTGGGAAGCTCTGCTGCCAGGGACGGCTGGGAGAAGCCTCAGCACAAGCTCCCGGCGCTGCCTGCACTGGCCAATATGTGAGAGCTCATCAGGGCACTGCAAACCAGGAGAGTGATATGGTCACGCTCTAGTTCCTCCATGACACAAACTGAAAAATAATGAGAGCAACCAAACCACTAAAAATAAGTTTAACCTCTCAGTGGCCACAGTACTACTCCTGCCCCATGCGGATGACTGAGTCATCGTGCTTATTTCTGCTGATTCATGACTGGAAAAGAGACGAGACCCAAGCCAGCCCTTAGTTAATGGAGCTATTTGTACTCTGGGGTCCATATCAGCATGTATCTCATCAGCCTAGGACAATGAACTGCTGTAGGATAAGGACCTAATAATGCAAAAACCTGATGCAAAAACCTGAGCTCTAAGTGCTAACAGATAATGAATATTTTCTAGTACCAAAATTAAGAGTTGAAAAAAGGGTTAATATCCCCACTGCACACTCAGGAAAACTAAAGCTCAAAGGTGGGAAGGTGATTTCTGTACAGCCCCCAAATCAGCAGCACAGCTGGGATCCAAACCCAGAGCTCCCCTCAGTGCTGTCATACAGTCACTGTATGAGCTCCAACATGCTTCTCCCAGAGCAATTCGGGATGTAGGGGGGCACCTAACAACCTGCCCCCAGCTCCCTGACTGAGCAAACCCTGAGTCCAGGCAGCCGGGAGCTCTTTATTCTCCCTGTGCCCCTGTGTGAGCATCAGTCATCAGCTTCTATGCCTCACTCAGTGGACTGGCTCCTCAATATGGTGCTGGAAAACACCTCCCTGCTTTGCCCAGATGGATACATCATTTGCTTTAATGCCATCTCCTTTCTTTCTGTTTCAACAGTTGCTGGGAAAAGCATCTCATCCCCTCCAACACTGAACTTCAGCCATCAGAGAGGATGAAGGACTCAGCATCTTCCCAGCGGAGCTCAGGAGCTCACTGGGTTCTGCAGCACTGCAGCTTTTCTCAGTCAAGTGAGAAAGGCAAGTCACTGTGATGTTAGTAAGGAGAACCAGAGAGTTATTTGAATTGTGCAGGTGGTTCAGAAAACAAATGGATGCTAAAAATACAAAATATACTTGCAAAGAGTCCTTCTCATGCCAGGAAAAAAGAGAGGCAGCTCCAGGGGAAATCTCTCTAGGACACAACCAGATCTAAATGAGCAAAGGATTAAAATAAAATATCGCTAGCTGCCTTGCTACGCAAACTGTGGGTGATTTTAATACAAGGGATTTTTGTCTAGCATCCTTCATACATCATAGCAGAGACAGAGACTTTCAGAATTAAAAAAATAAAGTGCTGCAGGAAGGAAATGACTCAGGAAGAGCGGTAAGTGGGGACACCTCTCCTGAATGAGCAATTTCCTTGGACCAGAGAGGTACAATCAGACATGCAAAGCAATCTGTGACTTATGGCCTATTTTCGTTGAAGAGTTTTCCTCTCTGAGGGGCAGGAATCAGAAGGTGCTGGTGCACTGTGAGCAAGGATGGCAACTGCCGAAGAGAACCCAGTGTAAGGTGGGCTGGCAGAGCAGCAGCAGGTGGGACAGAAAAGCTGCAGGTCATTTACAGAGCTGCAGGAATTCCTCTGAATGGTATCGTGCCCCGCAGGCTGATTTTCATGTATATCAGCAAAGTTAATATCGTCCTCGTCTCTAACAATTAAAATTTGCTGCTTACACACAAGCACCACATTCGCTCTATCACACTACAGTGAGGGATCCAGAAAAGCACACAGAACACTGTACCTTAAAGCACTGTAAAGTGAGGTGTGGTTTGCATGACCACTCACTCCTCCCGCATCAAAGGTTACCACCTGCAAAGTAAAACCACAGAATAATAATTACTTAGGGGAAGAAAAGAGACTGTGCAACAACTATCTTTGACATACAATACAGCACCGTCCCAGCCCTTTGCCTCTGCAGAGTTGCGTTTGCCTCGCACAGTGAGGCCTTGTGTATGAGTTCACACTATAGATATACGATAAACAAGTAAGTGAAGTCACTGGATCTAAACAACTACACAACCTAAGATCTTAAACAGCAGAAAGAGGAGAAGAATCACATTCTCAGAGGCAGGATGCAATTCTTACTAATTATCTGTCCAAATGGTCATTTTCAGAGCGATCTGCTGTAAACTGCCTGTTCCTGACCCGGGTGGTTTGATTCTATGAGTCACTCTCCCCTGGATCTAACAATATGCCTGTGGATTGCAGGATGAAACTATGGTTTTGCTGTATTGGAAGTCAGGACACAGCTGCTCTAGCAAGAACAATGCCATCGTGTACTCCTGTCCTGCTTGTAATGAGGCTTCATGGGAGGATCCGACAGTGATAAAATAACGTGATCTGAGAACAAGCTTTTTTAAAGAATCAGCTGACTGCACATTTTGTACAACCAACTCATGTGTTTAGCTGAGCGAGAAGATTTTACTGTTTACTGTTTCCTTGCAGGAAGAAAAGGGAACTCTGGAGTGCGGGATAATGTGTGAACGCAGCATTCCCAAGTCACCTTCCCAAGCACAACGAACCCTCGTGTCCTGCACGGAGGGACGAGGCCTCCCCGCCAAGGGGCGCAGGGAAGGGCTCACCCAGGGCACTCGGCAAAGCGGGTCCCGAAAGGCGCCTGCTTCCAAGCCCGCAGACAGACTGGAGGCACAAAGCCTGGAGCAGCGAGGGGACATGTGCAGGTAGGCTGTCCAGACAGGGAGAGTGACCATCCTTGAGCAATTTAAAGCCAGGTTTGTGCTTTGGGAGAGGCCAGGCAGCTGAGCACTTCACAGCTCCCCTAGACGACTGGGAAGAAATCATAACCTGCCTACCCTTCAATCAACGGCTGCTTCCTTGCCAGCTCATCCTCTTCAGGGAGGAAATGCTCCTGCCTCGCTTATTCAACCTTCCTTTCTCGAAATCTATTTCATAAGCGGGGCCTGAAGTACTGGGTTAAAGATCAAGGGAAGATCAAAAGCCACCCTGCCCGTCCTGCAACTTGCTACTCCACCCTGCAAGAGGAGAGGCCATGTCAAACACAAGAGTTACTGTGTAAAGAGGGAGAGGAAACACACGCAGAGGCAGTGATAAGAAATATTCAGAAAGCACAGACTCCTGACAAGGCTGCTTATAAAGCCATCCACCCAGTGCAAGTCCACAGTTAGACTTTCCACTTTGCCCAGTGCTGTGATAATGGTGCCACCAAGCAGCAGGGTTATTCATTGCTGGCAGGATAAACCAACTTGGTTTGGAGCAGCTGCAAAGCAGCATTTCCTGGTCACCTCCTTCCCAAGGAGAACAAGTCCCTCTGCTGTGGCTGCTTTGCTGTGCAAACCCGGGAGGTCTGCAGGGCCCGCACACCCGCAGGGCCGAGCGCTCCCAAAGGACCTGGCCTGCGGCAGGAGCTCACCCTGGAGCACCACGTCCAGCTGGCAGGGGCACCATTACATTCTGCACAGCTCAGGGCTCAGCCTATCGCCCTGCCCTGTAGAGATCAGGAAAACCATGCTCTGAAGTGACTCCTACCTGGAATAGGTCCCTCCTTGGATGACAACTCATCCCACTCACTACAGGCACAGTAAATTCCCACGCAGGTGAACAGCAGTGTGAGTCTGTCAAGGGCTGGACTTGGCACTAAACCTTTTTACTCAGTGGAGGCAGAAAGGCAGTTTGTCTCTTCAGATACCTTCTAGAAATGTAATATCTTTAGGACTGCTAATCCTGCTTGCAAATGTGGGCTGAAATTAGCCAATAAAGTCTCTTGGGACATGCATGTGCACGTACTTATAAATACAACTGCATTATTCTTGTTTCCTTAGGAAGCCAGGCTCAAAACCTCAGGCAAGTCAGACATTTCTCCTGTCATGGAGGGCATGAGAGAACAAACCAGAAGACTGAGATAAGAGGCTGCAGTGACAGACTAAACAAGCTTATCACTATGTTGACAGAACTGGCTCAGGCCAATTGTGGGAGCGCGAGGCTGGGTTCTTGACCTGGACATTACCTGCTCAGAAACATCTTTGGAGGCTTTCCCTCTCCACACCTTCTGAAATGGCAGCTACTGTTCCCAGGCCTGCTGGGGTTGTACAACGGCTGAACTAGCCAAGGAGATTGCACAAGGCTAATCTTTAATTGTTGTGGTCTAATTTATTCTTAGAATATTTGCACATGGATTGTCTGGCCCTTCAAGTATGCACATTTGTAAGCACAGTTCCAAAAATACCCAAACACTGACGTGGACATGTGGCATTCACTTTACTTGCAGAGAGACCATTTTTGAAATATTGGCCCGTGCCCTGCAGAGATCCCTCAGCATCAGAGCTGTGATGGAGTAATAAATCTCATTACCCAGTGCAGAGCTTCTAGGTCTGTTCTCTAATCAAGGCACTGATTCCACAGTGCCACTGTGGTGCTCATGACTGAAAGCGGGCAGAAATCACATGTAAATACATTCCTCTGGCTTCAGGGATTCATTTCATTGATAACAAATCTCAGTTTCTTTCTCACATGCTGAAGACACTTTCACAAGGCAGCATCTGCTTCTTCCACATGGTGCAGCTCGCTGCTGTGCTTGCTTAAACACATAACCTGAACCAGGCTGGTCATGAAATCAAGCAAACAATCAGGCAGGATGAGAAAACCTGAACATCTTGAAACTGTCTGGTTTGAAAACAAGCTCAGCCAGTTCTGAGAGCAAAAGGCTGGGATAGGAAATATGCTTGATGTGGAAATGATTGCTCAGTGGACTCTTTAGGGCAAGAGGGAGTTCCCTCCCCACACCTGTTCTGAAATGGGAGCTGCTGCTGCTGGTGCTGCTAGGTTTTCTTCTGGGTGACCTTGGCATTCAGGAAATGGAACTTTCCCTGGTGGAAGCCAGAGCTGCAGCCAAAATAAACAGGTTCAGAAATCCCTTCCGGAGGGGCGGGGGGAGCACAGAGGAAATTACTCAATTACTAGCAGAAGAGGAAACTCCTGAGAGGTCTGGAGTCCAAGCTCCTTCTGCAAAGCATGTGCATTGGAGAAGAAAAGTTGTGGGTCTCCCTCACTCTTTCTGGCATCACTCAGTGCTGCAAATAGTGCACAGTCTGAAGCTAGAGATTAAAACAGCTGGATGGTGAAGGAAAATTCAAATCACCCTCCACATCCCAGTGTCCATTGGGTTAGACATGCACCAGGTGTCTTGAAATGAAAGTTCCTGGAGCCCTCCCACTCATGTACTCCAAAGCACACTTGGGTGGACAGCAACACAGGAGAAGAGGGGAGGAAATAAAGATGCCAAATCTGTCCCTGCTCTGTTGCGTTCTCCAGCAAACTCTGCCTGATGCACTGAGTGTCTGGTGTTCTGCAAACACACATAAAATTCTCTTCAACAAACACATGGATGATCCTGGATTTTAGGAGATCACAGCTAAACTCACCCTCCCAAATATAAGCTCCAACCTGGGCATCATTTGTGGAAGGGTCTGGCTCTCCTTCTAGAGCAGACCCAAGAGAGCAGGACTCTCCCACGAGCAGCTGAACTCACGGTGCTTCCATCAGTCTATAATGGAGAAGAGCCTCATCATCTAGGGGCTGCCTGAGGCCCACACCACACTATGCAACTTGTTTTTTACACACCAAATACTTTCTAAGCTGGATTGAGACAGACTTGCTTTGGCTGTCTCTCCAAGCAACACTGTCTTTTGCTTATAAATCCAGCTGGCAGGAAATAATTTCTAAAGTGTATAAATTAGTTTTGGCTTTGCGTACACCAACCGTTAATTTCTGTGTCTGCATTATTTAATGTAGAGCTTGGATGAAATATGTCCCTGTAGTTCTTGAAAAGATTGAGTTACTTATGGACTTCCAGGGCAATTGAGGAAATGACTAACTACGCAATGGAACAAAAATACACATAACATGGTGTGAATCCTTGCTCTGCAATCTTGGCTTCAGACACGCTGCAGTTGCAGCCTGCATCTCCACTGCCAGATGACATGCATGTTCTGCAAATAAAAGACACCATTATCTATGCTATGACTATGGGAGGGATAAGTGGGGAAGGTCTTCCCAGTGGAACAGCTAAAACAACACATGTCTTCCAAACACGTTAACCCGAGGAAGTTAGGCTTGCTGTGTTTGAAGCCATGTCAGCTTATGACTTCTAGCACATTAAAGTGACACTATCAGTTTCACCATTAATAGAAGACAGGCTCAGTTTACCTTTCAATACATTGTCTCAGGGCAGCAGAGAAGCTCAAAGAGCAGCCAAAAGATATGTAGATCCCAACCTTTAAGTTTTAAAAGCAGAATATTGGACAAGGGTAGTGAGGTGCATTGTTGGCAAACTAGATCTGCACTTAGCTGAAAGGTATTTTAGCAAGATGTGAGATTTTGGGTGATTATTTGGGACACTTAAAATAATGCAAGTTTATTAGTGCTGTTGGCAATGTATATGCTCCAGAAACCCGCCCTCAGTGCTAACCTGGAAGTCACTGAGGGGTGCAGTGGGCCCCTCACTGTTGGAGGGCCCTGCCACAGTCTTCCTCATTACTAAGGCTATACCCTACACCAGCAGCACTGGAGGGGGTGATAGAGCTCGTGCATGTTTCTTGCTTTGGAAAACACATGCAGTTTTTCAGCTCCTGCCTCTCCCAGCACAAACGGCTTGTGTTTAATTTCCTTTGGGGTAAAGCTCTAACCCTTTCTAACCACCTAGAGGAAATTCTAGTGTTTTCGAAGTTCCTAGTGGGATTCTGGTGCACTTGCCCTAGTGCCCGGGAGAGTCACAAACAGGCAGTACAAGTCCTCTGTGTTGCGAGCCTTCAGTTTAGATTAAAGCTCTATCTATTCCCTGGGCCAAAAGGCACAGAATGACTCAAGGAAAACTGCATTTGTCTCTGTGCACAGCAATGAATTTCATGGAAAATTAGTCTCAGAATCAATACAGAGTTGGAAGTACAACACTGCCTTACATGCCCATGGGCTTTCAGTACCATGCTACAGAAGATGTGGTTTCTTGTTTTGTGAATTGCTGAAAGGCTTTAAGAGTTTTGTGATTTTGCTGCTCATCAGTGTGTGACTGTAGCACAAATGACCCCAGTAAGGTTCTGCAGAAGAGTACGGAGCACAGCTTTTTCCATGCTTAGTCCCTTATTCCTATTCTGTAACAAGAGCCTATTCCAGTCCCATGAGCCCTCTCTAGTTTAATATCTTTTCTGTCCTGCTGTATGTACCTGCTAATCCAGCCCTCTAACACGTGCCTGTACTTCAAATCTATATCTCAAACGGGCTCCTTATCAATGAAAACCAGTCACAGGGAGGGCAAGATTGTAACTTTAAAATGTAGACACACATATGAGGAGTTACTAAAGTAAAATCTCTCCACTGTTCAGTTCTTGTCTTGAGAGAACACCCACGCCCAATCTATGCCATTACCCTTTCTCATATTTTTCGATGGGGTAATTTTATTCATTCTAGACTTCTAGCAATTATTTGAAGCGTTTGGGAAAAAAAATGACTTGCATAAATACTCACATGAGGTCTTTAACCACTAAATGCAAAATCATTTTCAGCTTTAATTTTAGACCTGAAATTCAGCTGGACCTGCTCAGGAGGTCCCCTGCAATTAACGAATCTCCAAATCTACTCCAGTGAAGCTTGCCAGTTTCAACAGAGCTTGTAGGGTTTTTTTGCTAATATGAAATTTGTAATTCTGTGAAGGCCAGGAATATTACCATACAAAAGAGGCTTCATAGTTAAAAGAATGAGTAAGGTTTCCAAATCAAATTCTTCAAAATGGATGGGTGCCCAGGTGCTCTTCCCTCTCCTAGCCAATCTCCCAGAGTCTCAAGAAGCAAAATCCCAATGAAGACTCTAAAAGAAGCTTTTAGAGGCAAGGAAAATGTGTAAAACACTAGCTCAGAAGCACTACAGAAAACGCCTGCGCTGTGCAAAGTTTCACGTTACCAGGTTGATGTTATTGGCTTCTATATGCTGGAGCACGAAGGTGGCAAGGAGCTGGGTGTCCCAGTGAAGAGCAGGATTGTCCGGAAAATCTCTGAAAATAAAAAGCTGAATTAGACATCTCAGGGCTGACAACTTTATAAAGGGTATGCAAGAAAAGAGAGATCCTTTTACTGGAGGCTGAAATTAAGATAAAAGTACTGACCATATAAAATTCCTAAACCTTATTAGAGGTCTTACAAGCTTGTGTGTTTTGGGGAAAATGGGTATTGGAAGGGAATCAGCAACTCCAACATATTCCTCATAGATTTTCTAGGCTTTTTCTTGCTTCTTACTACCAAATTAGTTTTTCTAGCTGCTTTTCTTTAAGCAACTTTTCATTTTTTCCAGTGATTCTTGTTCTCTGTTCATCCCAATTATTTTTTTTTCTCTCTTCGGAGAAAGGAAATAACTAACAGCTCTTTATTTAAAAGCCTTAAAAGATCATTTTCCCAAAAGACTTTCCAGCCATATTCTATTGGTGAATTACATATGAAAAATAACAAACTCCTGCTCTAATTTATACAGGAATAACCCATTAATGTCAACAAGAGGATGAACAGCCATAATTATAGCACACAGACTGGACACTAATCCTTCATCTGTTTTCTATGCTTTGCATACTAAGTGTTCTGTGACTCAACACTATCTGGTATTTCAGATTGAAGGTTCCTATGGGCAGTGACCATGAGCCAAATGCAAAATAAAAAGCAAAAGAGTTATCCCATATTTACCTTGACACGACTGAGAGCTAAATATGACCTCCCCCCAAAGTCATTTTGTATGAGTGGGCCAAGTAAACATTGCTTTTGCAATGTTAAAAAAGAAAATAAAAGGTTATTAGTAAGAACAAGATTACATGCAGTTGCTAAAGACCAATAATGACATGTTAAACTGGCCTTTTTCTCAGATAGTCTGGTTATTGCTATGAAACAGTTTAGCAGGCAAGTGACTCCCCAGCCTTGTCCTCAGAGCCCTGGGGTTCTGAACCGATGCTGTAGAGAGCAGGGGCGCCGCTTCCCAACGCGCTGCCTCCCAGGACAACACGGATGGTAACTCCTGCAGGACAACGACAGGAAAAGTCTCCTTGGCACTTTCCAAAGCCAAGCTCAGCCTGGTCTTCATGAGAGATCTTCTGGCCACCCATTTTCCCCCTCCTGCTAACAGTAGTAGAAGGAAGCGCCTAAAGCACACACCGATCACTTGCATTTCAACCATCGTGCTCTGCATGGTCCTGCTCAGCACAGGTTGAAGCAACGAACTGGCAGCAGCCTCAGCAGCTACGGAAGCTGAACAAACTTGCATCCAATCTGCACAAAACAAAAGATCCCATGTTGAAAGACAAAGTGGCCCCAAAGAGTTACAAGTCCCACTGTTTCACAGGAGACTTCATATGGAGCATAATTTTTAAATGTGCCTCAACTAAAATTATTCTGAGCAACCTGCACACTCAGCGGGGTCTAAGTGCAAGTCTTAGAGAGCTTCAGTTGTTTGAATGGCAGCTTTGAGCTTGTGTCAGGCCTTAATCTGATAAAATTAAAGTGCCAAATTAATCTAGAAGGGATTCTCTGCTGGCTGCTTGTAAGTAAATACCATTGCCCGGCCTGCACAGCAGTGAAATGGACCTGTGAAGGAAGTGGAGAGTCCCATTACAACAGCAGGGATGCTCCAACAGCAAAATCTCAGGGGAAAAGAATGAGGATTGGAATTTATGATGTCCAGGAGGCTGTTAGAGTCATAGCCACCGCACTCAGCTTTATTGGGCTGTCTCCAAAAAGGCTGCTGGGTAGTGGAGCAGGTTTTAACTAGTTTAGACAGATAAAGATCACCCCTGTTCAATGGAAATGAACAGCTGGAGGCAATGGTTTAGAATCCCTGGAAACAAAACAATCTGAAGGCATGAGCAAATTAACTCCATGAACACTGAACTGATTAGCAGGAGTATTCTGCAAAAGTTCCCCTTTCTCCCCATTTACTGCTGCTCACAGAGAGACCAGCCTTAACTCCCACTAAGGCAAAGGAATCTTTTTCCTTGCACAGACTTTGTCAGGCACCAAAGACGGAGAAGCTGATCCCGCAAGCCAGACACCATCTTCTTAAGCACATTCACAACGTTGGTGGACACGACAGGCCACCAGCGTTCAGTAATGGGGCCCAGATAAGGCTGAAGGTGACTAAGAAAACCAAGCTGTTACACAGTGCGCACAAAGGCATTTTTAAAGGACATCTCTACATCTGCTAGGAACTCTGTAGGCACATATAAAACTTGAAAACTGCTGTACTTCACAAGATGACCTATTTAGTGCACATCTTCTGAGTATTTTTCAAACCAGTGCTCACCAAACCCAAGAAGTCCACTGACCTCCCCAACAATTCAGATAGGCTGCATCCATTTGTTTGTAACTCCAAGGCTTGGGATCAAAAACCATTTAGTATTTAAATGGTTAATTCCACACTCTGCCTTTCTGGCTAAGGCTAGTAATGCCTCTGAGCTCAAGGTCGAAGGGCTGACATAAAGGACGATAAAGGAGTGAAAATTAGCACATTCCCTGGAGCAGCTTGGAGCTTGTCCAGGAGACACCTGTCCCCAAGGCCGCCCTGTCTCCTCCGCCCCAGGGAGCTCCTTGTGGCCGTCGGTCACTGTAACAGAACAAGAGGAAAATCCTGCCTGGATGGAGCCCTTGGTGGCCAGGAACACAGAGATTCATGGCAGGGGCAATACAAAATTTTTAATAAGAAAGCTCAGGGAATTTGCAGCTGTGTCTGGAAACTACGGACCAAGGTGGGATGGAAAGGAGAATTTTTGTGCAAGTTAATCCAAAATTTGGCCTTCTGCAGATGCTGTCCAGCAGTTAGAGCTGCCTAAATCAAAGAAGTCCAAGTCTCATCTTGATGCCATCTCCTGTCCAGGCCTCCTCTCTCTGCGGGCTGTGCAGCACAGCTCCTCTTCTGCCTCAGCCTTGCCCAGTAAAACCCTGTGCCAGCAGCATCTCCTGCCAATAGTGTAGACTGTTTTGTGGGGTCATCTTTCTAGGAATGTCTAAGGCTCAGGATGGCACCATTCCTTTCCTCTGGAAGAATTCGAGTGTGTCCAAGGCAGGTTTGAAAACCTTCACACGTGTATAGCCAAGTTATACCCTCTTACATGATATACTACTCGGTCCCTGGCCAACTTTCCATTACTCATCTTCTACCGATCCTTTAGCAACCACCAGTGCATTTATACGTCCAATCTTCTTTCAAAGCCTTCCAAGGAATTTATTTGGCTCCTGAACTAAGCTCCTGTGACCGCTCTTAAAGGTTAGATTAAACTAAACAGTTAGACTATGCAAAGTCCAATAACTTCACAAATGGGTTATCCTATGTGGGATACATGAAGTTAGAATAATCCTGGATCTGCCCCTCTGGAAAGCTGTGGGGTCCGTATGAGCCAGTGCCTCTTCCCATGTGACAGGCACCCTGGTGGGATCTGGCAGGCACCCCCTCTGCCTTGACATAAAGTGTTTGGGGGTGGCAATGAGGGAGCAGAGTGGCAATAGAGTTCCTCCTGGAAGATACCTATTCCCCATCTCTATTAAAAATATTCTGAGACACCAGAGCAAAATCTTGCAAGGCAGTAATGTGATTTTCCATTCTGGTATACACCAAAAGGGTAAAGATGAAAGTGCTTTCCAAGTCCCTTTTTATCTTGCAGCATGACCGTAATCAATCCATGGCTAGGGACCAGGAAACATTTCTGCATAATTTCTCCTCCTTCCTGCACTGAATGGTTTTGCATTAAATCAGCACAAAGGTCAGTAGCTCGATGGTGGATTACATAGGAAACAGGTGAAGGGCTGTGCAAGAGGCTTCCAGCCGAGCACAGTGACCACAATGTGTGTGCTGGAACACAGCACGCCCTTTGTATAGACTTAACTGCATAAACTGAACATCTGGGGATCAAAAAGCAAAGGAACCCACAGAATCCCGCGGCGTGAGTTGACACTTAGTGAAAAAGCCATGTGATAACTAGAGGCAATCACTGACCTTTATAGCACAGCATCAAAGTAATTGAAAGAAAAAGAGTAAACAGAAATTACTGCATCTGCCCTAAAGTAGAGCAGAGAGTTTTTATTTTTGAGATGATGCTAAGATAAATTAAGACAGGCTAGCCCTAGATCTTGAAGCAGAGTCTCTAAATCCTGAAATTAATGACTATTTATAAATTTATATTTGCATAATGGCCAAAAACAGACAGAAGGGAAAGACTGCTAGACTGCATGTGTATCTCACATTCAGATGAAAACAGCACTCTTAGACAAATGGCCAGCACCTCTGAACACCATGTTATACAGAGAACAGATGCCATGTGCTAACTGGAGTGCAGTGATCAACAGTTTGGGAGAGACATGGAATAAACCACAGTGCTAAGTGGGAAATGATCAATTGAAAAGCCACCTAAAACAGAAAAGCCAATTCTGAGATTTTTAGCACACAACAAATATCTCCCCTCTCCCCTTCCCCCAAAATGAACAGGCAGAAGGGACATAATCCTCTTCTCCCATCCCTAGCTTTTGCAATGTGTAAGTTTATGACTACTTTATACACATTTCAAAGGTAAATTAAGTAAGTCTAGATGCCTAAAACACAGGCAAGCGCTGACATCACTAATGTGGCCACACTTGGCAACAGTCCTGGTAAAGGGAAGCAGAACAGGGAGCTCTCCCCATGCTGCCTCCTCCGCAGCCCAGACAAGCCGTGCACGCTGCTCCTCTGCTCCACGAACAGCCCCGTGATAGACAGCATCCCAACCACCCCACAGCTCCCCAAAGGCAAAAGGCAATTAGATCTCTGGAGAACAAACCCTCTGACCTGGGCATGACTGTGCGTTTCTCTTAGAGAAATAAACATCCTTTGAGTTTAAATTCAAAGGAATTATTACAGAACACGAGACTGCTTGTTTGCAAAGACCTATGCGAACGTCCCTGTACTCATTTATTTTGTGTAATGAATTATTGATGATTTCTCAGCAGAGTTGATGCCTATTCACAGAGATGACACAATTGCTTATCGTAATTTGAAATCTGGTATTCATTTGACGTCTGTGCCTCAGCACCGTGTTGATAAATTACAGCACAAAGCTCTGCAGGAACAAGTTCATATTCAGTGTCTTAAAACAAAAACAATGGATGGTGCCTTTCAAGAACAGAAAAGAACAGAAATTACCATGGCTAAAACTACTTTACAAAAGTAACTTTGAAAAACTAGTTTGAAGATTGCACTGTGGCCATAGGACAGAAGACAGAATCCAGCTTAGCTAATTCTGAGCTGATCACCTCTTTGGTCACAGCTTTCCAGTCTTTCACTCCTCATGCCTGTGAAATGAAAATAATTATATGCTCACAGCTATGTAAAGAACTCTGACATCCTTGTAAGAGAAGTGTTACGTCTGTTCTTTGATTTCTAGATCTAGATCTAAAGCACATGTTTGGCAATCTCAGCTACTGGGAGCTCCCCAAACCTGCCTTTTACTCCCTGCATCGTCTCCCCATGGAGCAGTGACTCAGGTTCCAGAGCTTAGTCCTGATTTAAAGGCCTGCATAAAGCTCCAGAACGAAGAATGCAGCGAGCAGCTCTGCTGCTGTGGTGCAGAGGAGCACTGCGACTAGGATAAGGTCCTGCAGCGGCCAGAACTTCTGCAGCACCGACGTGAAAGAGCGAACAAACTCCCAGTGGCATCACAAACTGCTTTGCTTTCAGCTGCAAACAGGAGGAACCATCCTTGGGACATTCTTCTTTTCCTAGCAAAAACACAGCGATATTTAAAGTTTAGATTTCTCCACACTCTCCAGTGCACACAGAAAGCTGAGACATCTGGGGGAACTGTCATCCCAGCTACACAGACCCTCTCTGCCAAGCTGCACACCAGGAATTTGGGTGCGTCACCTGAGGGGCCCTTGCTCTGCTCACACAGTGGCCAGGTGTCACCATGCGACACTGCAGCACAGTCCCACTGTAGGGACATGACTTCTAGCAGCGTCACACTTGCAGAAAATGAGATTTTGGGCTGACAGCTCTGCAGCTTTGTTGGATGCTCACTGCTGCACAGACCTCATGCATGGCTGACGCGGCTGGCACGTGGCGCTGCCCGAACACTGTGCTGCAAACACAGAACCTGCAGGTGCAGAAACCTGAGCCGGGAGTCTCCTGCGCAAGTGCCACACTCGGAGCATGACATGTTGTTCCTGTGCTGCTGGAACGTGCTCAGGCACCGGTGTGAAGAACATCCCACCAGAACCCAGCAGTCGGCACCGCTGATTGACCAACTGCACAAGGCAGCGGCGCCACACACCTCCGCATCGTGGACAGCTTAGAATCCATCTGAGAGGGACAAGAGGGACATTATTTCATTCAGTTCAGTCTGCACGGAGAAACCCTAGCTTCAGCATTCATAAGTGGAAGTCTGCAGGACGTAGCTGCAAGGACCACGCCGTGCCAAGGAGCGCACCAGGGACCCCACAATGCTGGCAGCAGGAAGCAAAGCAGGCTGAAGTCGCTGGAGACAAGGCAGCCATGGAAATCCATCCCCTCCCCTTCCACCCGCAGTGCCGTGTTCCATCCTACGTTCCCCACGTCTGGGGTTGATCTGCCTTCCTTTAGCATGTACGCTCTATGCGACGCCAAGGCCAGTCACGGTCCTTCGTCCCTGTGTCACCAGAGGCAGGATGAGCCTCCGTTCCGAGTGTCACCAGAGGCAGGATGAGCCTCCGTTCCGAGTGTCACCAGAGGCAGGATGAGCCTCCGTTCCGAGTGCTCCCACAGCTCCCACATCAGCGACACGTCCCCGGCAGCCGCCCCTTGGCTCCTTTGCAGCACGACCTGCGGCTGCCAGCACTGCAGACTGCCAAGAGTGACCAGCAAAGCGTGGGCCGAGAAGCCTCCCTTTCGTTTTACACGAACTACATTCTGCAGCATCTGCCGGGGGCCACCACAGCCCTCGCTGAAAGCATCAGTTGGAGGCCAGGCTTAGTGGAGTAGCTCTCAGCCTCACGAGAGCTGAGGCTGCCATGCAGAATTATTAGTCAGCACTTGCTCCCCTGGCCCACTGCAGCGTGGTTTGGGCAGCCGACAGGAGTGCAGTGTGGGATTAAGTCAATTCTGTTCACATTTCAGACAGCTGTTCAGGAAAATAGATCATTAAGGTCCCGCTTTGTTCAGAGAGTGTTGCTAATCTTGGGAAAACAAGAATTCACTGACATTTTCTTGCATGTTGTTGGTACAGTGTATTTCTGGCATCTGTCCCAAATGACTGGCATCACTGGCAAGTAACAGATCTATAAGCATCATCCGACCATCTCATCTACAGACTTATAACAGGAGAAGCATCTTCAAACAACCGGCTGCCTGGCAGCTCGGAGCACAACTGCTGGGCTGAGGCGCGCTCCGTGGAAGCCTGTGCGGAGTGTATGGACTACAGCGGCTGCGGATCCAGGGGGAATTTTGCTCCACATTCCTAAAACAATCTGCGCTTGTCTCTGTCAGCTCCAAAAAGAGGAATGAACAGTTCTGAAAACAAAAAATGGTGAACTCACCTCATCAAGAGCTAGCTCCTTGGACCAAACATTCCCCACCTCTGCGTGTCTATTGACACTCCTAGAGTAACAGAAAGTACAGACCGCACTTCTCCAAAAGGGCCATCTTTACTCGAAGAAATGAACATTATGTGGCATGGTCAGGCAGTTCCCAGAATAGCTCATAGCAGGCCTCACTTCCCTGTTATTATTATTGGCTTTGGTCTAGCAATGCACCCACGACCCCACAGTGTGGGCTGTCCTCAGGGAGAACAAAAAGTTCAGTGAACTCATAACCAAAACTTACGTTTTACATTTGAAATACAAATCACTGGCAAAGCCAGGACTGAGAGGAGCCTGGCACAGGGAGGGCAGGCTGCAGTTGGGACCCGCGGGCGCCCTGGCAGCGCTGCGGTGCGCGGGGGAACGCGAACGCAGAGCGTTCTCAGCGGGTTGTCAGTACAACGCTGGCACACGAAGCTCCTGGCACACATCACAACGTGCCCAGGAATCCGCAGGCTGCATATTTCATTAGTACCGTCAAATCATTTCCCTTCCTATGACGGCTTGTATCAATGTCAAACGTTTACCTAACTGCGAGCCTGATGCCACAAACATTACGCACATGCAAAGCTTCTTCTCGTGCAAACAATCCTCTTGCAGGCGTTGTCTTGCCAGCCCCATCTAGGCGGACGCCCCAGGTAAATGACGACACGAGCGAGGCTGAGGCCAGGTCCTGCCATGCGCACGGGGCAGATCCGCGCCGCCTCCCCGGCAGCCCGGCGAGCCCAGGACGCAGCCCGCCGGGGCTACGCAGCAAGCAGAGCGCAACGCAGCGACCTTTGCTGTTCCGCCTCCCTCTCCTTCCCGCGGATTTAATGGGAACGTTATGCAAGGGCTTCGCTATAGCCATCGGAAGGCCCCGGCCAAGGTTGCCAAGGGCTAGGGATGATTAACCCCCATGCCGCAGCGGCTGGGGCCCAGGAGAAAGCAAGCGCGGGGAGAGCGGGGCTTCCCTGGCAGAAAAAACCCCGCGGGGTGGAAATTGTAAAGGTTTAAAATAAAGGAAAAAACGTCTTTTTCTCCTTGGGGCGCTGGGAGGACGATTCCTACGCAAGCCCGGCAGCAGCGCGGCAGTCCCGTGCTCGGAGTCCCCGGCAAACAGCAGGAGGCACCGGGACCCCGCGGGTACGGGGCAGGTCACTCCACAAGCTCTTTCCTCACACGGTTCTTATATCCTCAGCGCACGATTCGGTAAGAAAAGCCTGCAGATTACCAACGTGCACCCGAGCAAGACGACTAATCCGTCAGCATTTCCCAGTGTCGATGTCCACACAGTAACACTGATGCATCAGGCGCCCCGCTAGGCTGGTAGCAGTTGCCCTTGTACTGGTGGGACTCGTTGCATTTTCTGGTTTCCAGGTAGGAACCCCAAACTTATTCCCACTGTACTCAATGCAATAGCATCAGTTCTGCAAACCCCTCACCTCTTCTCCACACAAATGAAACCTCTGCCTGCCAGTGCTTTATCTTGCTATATATTTTTTTCTTTTTTCAAAGACAAACTCTGCCCCAGCCATGGCATCCCATTGTGTGTCTACTCATGAGAATAAGAGAAATGCGGAGTATTTGGCTTATGAAAGAGAAATACAGGAGAAAAAAATTTGTAATGATGCTACTGTTTAAATAAGAGAGACTATAATTTATTGCAGATGTGACCCCTCCTTCTAAAAAGATCTTGCTGATGCAGTGTAATGACACAAAGTAGAGATGGACTTTATGCATCCAAATTAGATAATGAATTATGCCCTTTTATCCCTTGCCATTTTGTACCCCAAAATGAGCACAAATTGCTTGTTGCTTCTCAAGCATTTTTGCTAGTCCTCTCAGTGCTCAGAAGACTTCAGACCTGATTTACAAGAGGATATTCCTCCTTAAACTACGGACAGAATTAACACCTACACACTTATTAAAAATCAGTTAAAGTTTAACTTGTGAAGAAGAGAAAACAGCACATAACTCCTCCAAAAAAAAAGTTTTAATCACAAAAAACTATGAAGTAAATACGTGTGTGGAAGGGAAGCTATATAATGAATTGAATGACTGCGATGCAAATAATTGTGGAGAAACAGACTGCAACCCACTGAAGTGAGAGGGTATTGAAATGAGTGTCTATGGCACATGCAGCTGGAATGGGATAGTTAATATGTGACTTGTTAAAAGCGGGAGCAGGACTTGGCATGGACCTGGAAGGAAACAGTTTTAATTTAATGCTCCAGTAGGTACAGAAGGATTCAGGACAATAAAGGCTTCATCCCATTTCAGTTTCTAAAGACCTATTCCAGTTTTCTGCTCTGCTGTCAAAAGTACATTTTTATTCTTTTATACAAATCTGATTGAAGAAGCTGTGGGAAGGAAAGATGCTTAAAATGTCCAGCAAAGCATTCGTATCTCCTGTACCTGGTCTCTCCTTCAATACTATGTATAGTTAAACCTGCTTACCCTAAAGGATGCCTCTCTCTATCTTTCTCTCTCTGTACATTAATGCAGCTGTGGAGATTATCTGATACACTAAAATAAGTGGTCCCCAGATGTAATCATAAGGAAGCTGCAGAAGGGCATTTTCAGCAAGAATCCCGACAGTAGAACCTGCTTCCAGTTACCTCTTAGGTCTGACTCGTTCTCCTGGGGCAAGCAGCATAGTATTTTGCAAGAGATTTGAGTTATGTGTGGCTATCGGTCCAAAACGTCACTCCTTGTCCCTACAGTAATTATACTGAATGCTCATTGGAGACATTTTAGATTTTGAAATAAATAGAATCAGTACAGACATCACTTGACTGCACTGTCACACAGCATGAATAAAATACTCTGATAGATACTCTGGCTCGTAGTCAGTGGGGATTTGGTATCGCTATGCAAATTTCATTTTAAATAATACAGCCTTGGTTTAAAAATCTAATTTATGTCTGTCCTTTTTCTACTGTTGTTACAAGTAACTCCTAGGATTCCTCAGACAGCAAGTTGGATATGTACCTCTATCATGCAGCAAAAAGGAAAATATAAGAAAAAAAAACACATTTCAGAAAAGAGGTATACAACTGTAAAACCATAATACTGAATAGGAATCAAGGGAGCAGATGTTGCATGCAAAATTACTCAACACATTTTTAAGAGCTAACTTCAAATCACCTGCATTTCTTTTATGCATTTCTCAGACCATCCCTCTTTGAGTGCTGCACCATGAACTTTAACACAGCAAGGCTGTCTCCTGGACTCTTTACTTGGCTCTGCTGTTTACACATCCTTTAGAAGATGTCACAAAATGACTGCCAGACTTCTAAACACGGTCACTTCCTTCGCTGTCCAAAACAAAGGTTGTTTCAGTTCACTGCTAAGGCACTGAAGCATGTGCAGATCTCAGCTGATCACAGAGAGCCTGTAACGCCCTGAGGCAGGAGAAACTGTCAACACAGCTGTCCCCATGCGAGGGAAAATCTCCTGCTGGGCAATCTCTAAATCAGGATGGAAACATCTTCTGAAATGGATTAGGGGCAAGGACAAGGACTGTAAATAGGCCAGGCAGCTAAGAAAGTTTGCAGGGTGTGATTAAAGGAGTTTCTATTGAGCTGTTAGAGAAGCACCTTGACCTCGGTGCTGTTTCGCAAGTGTAAGTATTCCCGTTTTTTCCTGTCACCTGTTGCTGGCAGAATTATATGTGAATGAGCAGCTTCTGTGCCCACCTTGCATTAGACACACAGCACCTGCACTATATAAATACTATATAAA